GTGAGTCTTTTACAAGAGGTACCTTGTTTCACCAAACATGCCCATAATGAAGTGGGAAAATGGAATTTTATTGTTCATATTTTTGCTAACATCTTTGCAAAACTTTTTTATTCTACTTGATAAGTGTATTTATTTTGCCATGTGCTTTCTGTGATGGACACAGAGTTTTAAGGAAGGATTTGCTGCCGAGCTGTGGGAAGTATGGTCAGCACAGCCCCCCAGCTACCAGCCCCATCAGGATCTGCCTGAGCTGCAGCGAGCCACCTGCCTAAAGGACACATCCTTTCCAGGGCAGCCCACGTCTAGTCCTGAGCCAGGGAAGGGAATTAAGATCTCTCAACTTTGGTGGACATTTCTTGCTCCAAAACAGCCTAGGCAAAAATTCATCACAATTCAATTTCTTCCCATGCCCAGTCCTGTTTCTACCACCTCTTTTCCACTTTTATTGATAAGTAAAACATTTTGCATACTAGATTTTACCTACTTCTGGAGAATCCCAGCTGTGGCAACTTTGAAAATAACTTTGTGAAAACCTTGGGCTATGAATTTAGCTATTTCTATTTACGGAAAATATCTACTATTTAACCACATAGTTTATAGCCAAGTTAGTAAGAAAATCATTTACTTTCTGTCTGAAAGGTCTGCCTTCATTTTGTATTACAAGTAAGCACATTAAAATGATTTTTTGAGAAAGATTATGTTTAAAAGTACAGAAATAAATTATATAACAAGTGTTTTTGTTTTTTTTTTTGAGACAGAGTTTCGCTCTTGTTACCCAGGCTGGAGTGCAATGGCGCGATCTCGGCTCACCACAACCTCCACCTCCCGGGTTCAGGCAATTCTCCTGCCTCAGCCTCCCGAGTAGCTGCATATAACAAGTTTTATGTAATGAAGTATTTAAAATAGTTAAGATAAAATTCTAAAGATTCAATAAAATTTATGTATTAATTCTTATGTTATAATCAAAATAAACTAGTAGTGTTATGTATCATTACATAATGATAAATAATTAATGTTGAGGCTTGAAGTCGTTGTAAAGGGCTGCTTATGTTTCAGGTAGATCTAAGCTTTGTGGACCCGTAAGTTTTTACAGACTTTGATAGGTGACATTTGAAAGACAAATGATGCAACAAAAATAAATAAAATTACCTATAAGCATGAGTATTTAGAATGAGAAAAAATTATAACAAATTACAAATTTTAAAAAGCTGAGAAAATCACAAACATCATAAAATCCACTTGTGTCATATTTTTCTTAATTAACTGACTGCATGTTACACTACTATAGTGATTTTTTTCTAAATTGTTTTCTATAAATGTCTTGATGGCTTTGCCACATAATAAAAATTGTGTAATATAATTTTCTCTATAGAGGAAATGAATAAATCAGAAAAAAGAAAATTTGACCAACCCCCAAAAAAGTTTTTATTTGTGGTTGGTCAAATTTTCTTTTTTCAATGCGTTGGGCTGTGTAAGACATGTAAATTGACTTATACACACACTTGCTTGTGGTGGTACTAGTCATGGTTGATCTTAATAAGTATGAGCTTTCTGATCAATTTCATTTCCCAGCCTGCCATCAGAAAAGAAAATAAAATGATTATTTTTATACTGAATTTTCTTAAAAGAAGAGAATTCATATGTTGACCATGCATGAATATTTGAAAGAGAATTGAATGCTTGGTTTATCATTTCTCTAGTCTGATGATTGGAAGAATTTTCAGTAGACTAACTCTGACTCTGTATAGTTCAAACCTCATTCCTCCTTCACTGCCGACATATTTGCAGGTTCTTTAGGGCAAGTTCTCATCATGACCTGACACTGTAGTCAGGATGATAGGTGAGTCAGCACAGAGCATGGGAAAAGATTTCCTAGAAGCAATCCCTTTCTCAGACAGCTGGTTAAAAATTTAACAATATGCTAATGTGACTATGAACCACATGAATACATCCCCTCATGCCAAATTGAATGTAATTCCAGCTCAACTTTTTCCTGGGTAAATCCTGAAAACGCTCACAGCAAATGAATGCCAATATACATACCAAGATGCATGACTGAATGAGTTAATACGGAAATGAAGAGCGATTTTTAACAGATTACAGTTGAACTAGCTCCTTCTGTAATTTTTACAAATACACATGACTATGTTAACACACTGCTAAGTGCTCCTCCCAGGGTCTTGGAAGGATCCCATTCCAATGGAGGGTCCTTGAAGCTTAAGCATTAGTAGCTTCAAGGTAAATCTACATTTATATTAAGCACATAAAATTATTTTAGAATTCAGTATTTCTTAGTGCCGGTTTGTGCTTTATTCTCAAGGGGCTTTCTCTAAGGAGCAATGCTTTCATACATGATAGAATGTTTGGTGGTGGTGAGGAGTAGCCAGATAAATCTGGGAAATAAACATTGTCATTACTCTCACAGTCTCACTTTACCAAACATTCATGTCAATTTTGATATTCCAAGTTTCAATGTCTGAGAAGTTTTGCCTCTAACAGCAATACTACAAGGCAGGAAAATACTGGAAGCCATTTTGTGAAGTATTGATTAGTCATTAAGCTTTCACCTTGTTTGCTCCCTTCAGGGAGGGTGAAGCTTTCATCCTTTTATTCTCCTTCTCCCCTCCTTCCTCTCACCTGTCAAAGAAAACCAATCACTACAGTAGTTAAAGCAGTAAAAGTTAAATTTTATTCAGGACAGCTGCAACAAGGAAAATGAGATTTCAGTATAGAACTGGGCTCAACTCTGAAAACGACATGGGCAAGTGGGAATTTATTGCCAGGGAGAAGGGTGAGGGTCAGTGGATGAAAAATTACTAAAAATAAATATCTGGGGTAGAGAGGATTCTGGCTAAACTGACCTAGCAGGATATTTGATGAACAGAAGCTAGAATGATTCATCATCACCTGGGGGATGGTAGAGGATAAGGAACCTGATTAAATATCCAGGGGTGATCAGGGGTTCTGGTTAAACTTACAGCAGAATTCTTCCAAAAATTGGATTTTACAAGAAAGTACACATGTGGAAGTAAGAGAAGTTTTGAGAGCCTGACTAAAGTTCAGTGAAACAAATAATCTTTGTCACTCCCTCCCTCCCATCTCTTTTTCTTCCCTCCCTCTCTTCCCTCTCCTCCCTCCTTTCTTTCCTTCTATTCTAGCTGGCCAAGGGCTGGTGTAAACTCTGATGCTTTCTCAAGATGGCCTTTTGGAAAGTTCCTGAGAATCTGGAAGTCAATTTTCTGAAAACACACAGAGTGCTTGTACAATTTGGAGGGTCCTTGTGCTACCCCATTACAAAATGTTGTGCCATAGCCAGAAATTGACCAACTTTTCTATAAAGGATCAGATAATGAATATTTTAGGCATGTGGGCCACATATCTCTGAAGCAATTAGTAACCTTGATACTTATGAGAGCAGCCATAGACAATACATAAATTAATGGATTAACTGTATTTTAATAAAACTTTCTTTATATGGAAAAAATCAGTAGTTTGACCCACAGCCCTAGTTTTTTGACTGGCCTCAGGTTTAGACTACTAACAGATCTGATGGGAAGTGGTATCACAGACCAGCATTTCCAGAGAAATCATTGGAAATTGATTTCTAAAATGTAATTTTGGAATGATTCTCAAAATGTAAAACTAGCATGAATTTTCATTATATGCACAGCCTACAGACCATTAGTCAGTGATTCCCAAAATAAACATCTCTAATAAAGTCAGTCTGCAACGTCCACTTGGAAATAGCAAGTCTGTGATATTAGTTAGAAAACATACTATATTTTTTTTTCAAAAGGCTTCATGTCAGAACCTAAGTTTCAGAGGGTTCAATTAGAGAAAGAATGTATTTAAACAGACTTTGGCAAAATTTGTAAATATTGCATAAAGTTCTATGTCAGAATGAAAGTACTACAAATCAATGATGTTCAATCAGCACCTTTCAGTGAGGTCAGAGTTGGACCCTCTCAGCGTCCACTTTGGCTCACAAGTGGTTTTATCTCTACCACCCACCCAAGACACCTACTTGATATCAAGTGACAGCAGAAGTCATTTATAGGCAGTCTTGGAGAATTTCCCATACACCAACCAGAACTATGTTTATTGTAACAAAAACACACCAGTTAGAATGGGATCACAGTTCCATAAAAAGCCTGCTGTGTGTTGGAAGCTAAAACGGGGTCCTTGAAAGCACAAGAGAAGAGACATTCTGGTAAAAATAATTAATAGAACCATGACAAAGATGACTATAGCCCAAAAAGATCTTTCAATATTGACTGAATTTGTGCCCAGTGTCCCAGCATGACTGTGCATGGGGAAAGCCATCTGTATTTCATGGATAACGCTGGCAGGCCACTCAAATCAGGCTTTAATCCAACTTCAAACCAAGAGAGCTGGGAGGAAAACAGCTTCAGACACTTGAGGTGACAGCCAGGAATGCTCTAGATGCTTGGCATGAGAAGGATTATCAATTTAACCTGAACTTTTTTCTTAGCCACACATCTGACCTGGAATCATAATCTGCTGTCAAAATGCCTCCCATCATGTCTTAGGGTCTTTAATATTCTAAAGAAGTGATTTATTCTATCTGAAATATGTATCCACACTATCTCTTTGGTAATATTTCATGATCTGAAAATCAGACGTCCATTTGTGTGAGTTAATAAGAGAAGTAAAGGAGAGGATACATACTATGTTTTCTGTTGTGCAAGTTTTATTTGTACAAATAAAAGCATTATAAAAAACAAACATAAGGGTTAATGAATCTTGTTAATCGCATTAAAGAATATACAGAATCATGCCTACTTTTAAAAATATAAACTCTTTGTTCAATTGGAAGCTTTGTTTTCTCAATCCAAACTATTAATAATCACTGCTGAAACAAATCCCAAGTCTCTGTCCAGATCTGGAAACTAATAAACGTCCATCTAGCGCTTGCCATATGCCTGTCACCATTGTTAAGTATGTAGCAACTGATTTAATGTTCATTATCATCTTTCCAGGTGGCTACCATTACTGTGCTCACTTTACAGGTGAGGTCTGGAGATTTATGTAACATGCCAAAGGTCACACAGCTGGACATTGCAGAACCAAGATTCAAATCTCCACAGGTAAACTCCACAGCCTTAGCATTTTCCCAACCACCTTGAATATTTTTAAATTGATAACTTATTGGCTCAGAATCTCTGCCCAACATTTTGCAAAGCCCTTTCCTGTACTATACAATCCTTCCATTTGTTTAGAAATTCATCAGAGGAGCAATATTAAGTTGCTTTCTTTATGTTGTCAGAAATAGAGCTTCCAAAATTTTTCAATTGAAGATGTAGCCAAAAAGATATCTGAAGGACAGAGAGATGGAGAAAAGGAGAGGAGATAGAGGAAGAAAGATAGAAAGCTCAAAATAAATTATAAAGTAACTTACAAAGAAAAAGGGTTTAATTGGCTCACGGTTGTGAAAGCTATACAGGAAGCGTGGCTCAGGGAGGCCTCAGGAAACTTACAGTCATGGCAGAATCAGAAGGGGAAAGTGTAGTGCTAGCAAGATTCCTCCCAGTAGTTGTCTTTTTCCAATTAGAAGTGACTTTCACAGTTACAACACCACCTCTGTTAACCTCAGCTCATTGCCCTTTCAAACCATATCTTCTGTTACTCTCAATCTATGTTGAATAGTCCCTCAGCTCTCATAAGGGGACCAAATTCATGGCTGCTTCCTGATACAGCTGTGTCCTGTTACAAGGCTTGAAGTTACATAATGTAAGTTTACTCCACTTTAAGTTTTACAAATGCATTTAACTTAACAAGGTTCTAAAACAGTCATAAAGTTATTTACAACAGTCACTGGAAAAGATCATCTCTGCAAACAAGGAAAAGCTATTCTTTCTCCCACACCCACACACAGCCTGAGGTTCACCAATGAATACATGTTCAGCTTCTGTCCTCCCAAGCATTTCATAAGATAGGGTTTTTGGATTTTTCACCTTTATATACTTGCAGTTAGCTTAAAAGTCCCCACAAAACTTTGTAACTTGCAAGCCTTTTTTTCTCCTTTACTGAACTATGTACTGAAATGGGGAATACGGAAGGTTATAAGGTTTGGAATCAACAAACCTGGATTATAAGAGTAGCTGTCAACACCAGACAAGATAGATGACTATGGCAGAATTAGAAAAAGGGAAATGATAGTGTGTGTGTGTGTGTGTGTGTGTGATTTGCAGTTGAATATTGCATTAGTGTCCCAGGGCTACTGCAACGAATTACTACAAGTTGGGTGGCTTAAAACAACAGAACTATTCTCTCAAATTTCTGGGGACCATGTGTCCTAAATCAAGAAACTATCAGGGCAGCACTCCTTCTAAAGACTCAAAAGGAGAATACTTTCTTGCCTCTCCCAGCTTCTAGTGGCTCCGGGCATTTCTGGTTTGTGGCTGTGCCATTCTATTCTCTGCTTTGTCTTCTCATGGCCTTCTCCCTAGTGTCTTTTCATTTCTGTTTCTTCTTAGGACCTTGTCATTGGATTTAGGGCCTTCAAACTAATCCAGAGTGATCTCAAGATCTGTATCTAGATTATATCTGTAAAGACTCTTATGCCAAATAAGGTCTCCTTCTGGGATTCTGGGGGTTAATACTTGGACCTATATCTTTGAGACCCAATTCAATTCACTGCAAATGTGTTCTTGTTTGTTACATTTTCCCCTGAACAGTACCATTTCTTATAGTTAGGAGTTAAAACAGCTTTTCTTCTGTGAAAGGATAGAAATTTTGTGTGTTGTATTAGTCTGTTCTGACATTGCTATTAACCAGCTACCTGAGACTGGGTAACTTATAAAGAAAAAGTGTTTAAGTGGCTCATGGTGTGAAAGCTATACAGGAAGCGTGGCTCAGGGAGGCCTCAGGAAACTTACAGTCATGGCAGAATCGGAAGAGGAAGCCAGCATGTCCTACATGGCTGGAGCAGGAGGAAGAGAGAGCAAAGAAGGATGTTTGAGTAACCAGATCTTGTGAGAATTTAATCACTAGAACGCACTAGGGGGTTGGTCAAACACCATTAGAAACCATTTCCATGATCCAGTCACCTCCCACCAGGCCCCACCTCCAACACCGGGAATTACAATTTAACACCAAATTTGTGTGAGGGCAGAGCCAACCCGTATTATATATGCATGTGTATACGTGTGTATGACTATATGTGTATCATAGTACTTTTCTGACAGAATTAAAAATCGACAATCCAATATCAGTTGTCACATTTTAAAAAAATGCTTCAGGAAATCTCAGTCCAGGTAGGATTGCAAAACCAACCTCGCCTTTCTGAGCCTATTTCCTTATCTTCCAATGAGGTGATCTCTGATTTTTATATACTTGACTTTCAAGTAATTTGCACTTTTGTACATAATACATGGGGACCTCTGAACATGTTTTCTAAAACACATATCTGACTTTCTTACACCAGAAGACCAATAAATATATGAAGGTATTCTTCAGTGATACTGCCTGCCATTCAGGTGTTCAATTAGGGCATTTCACCATCTTTTTTTTTTACAGTAGGTGCTGTGGACTGAGTATTTGTGTCCTCTGCAAAATTCATATGTTAAATCCCTAATCTGCAAGATGATGGTATTTGGAGGTGGGGCCTTTGGGAGGTGATTAATCATGACAGTGGAGCTCTCAAGACAGAATGTGTGCTCTTATGAGATACAAAACATCTTATCTTTCTTCTATGTGAGGACATCTTGAAAAGATTACCATCTGTAAACCAGGAAGAGGGTCCTTTTCAGACACTGAATTTTCTGGCACTTTGATTTTGGACATTCCAGCCTCTAGAACTGTGAGAAATAAGTGTCTGTGGTTTAAGCCACCCAATCTATGGTATTCGTTATGGCAACTCAAGCTGACAGTGGGGTTTGTGAAATTATGTGAATAGTTTGTTTTGCATTTAACAATATGCTTTAAAATAAGAAAATGATAACATGAAAATAAAACTCAGTCTCAAACATAATGGAACTACACAGAAGGAAGAGCAGTAGGTAGCCTGAAAGGCCGACTTTTTAGCCTTAATTGGACATACAAAGTGTGTGGATTTGAGTTTAATTTGAAGCAAAATGACATAACCAATAACTATATATAAGTGGTGGATAAATAGCTTCAATCATTACATCAACAAAGTGCATCATGTTTCATGTTTCATCATGCATCTTGAATAAATGTATTTCCTCCCATAACTGCCATTTACATTGTCTGACATATTTAGGGATTATAACGTAGTATGAAAATAGGCACTTTCTGTGGTTATCAGTCACAATCATAGTAACTGGATTAGTAGGAGCATGAGTTCCAGTTTTAGTAGAAATAGTAAAAAACAATACAACAGTGGTAAAGTAAAAGAATCCTATTGCATTACATTAAATGTGATAATGCACACAATATTCTATAACCTATTAAGCTCTAGACAAATGTTAATTATTTTCTGCATTGTGGTATGGTCTCCATTTTGCAATAAATGCTCAATTAGGCATTGATTGAATAGGGATGTCTTATTGACCTGCTTGGTAACTTAGTTCTTATTCATACTTTTCCTTTACTAATCAGAAAATTAAGCTCTTCAATCCAAGGTCAGGCCCCAGGAAGGGGTGGATGAGAGCCAAACTGAACCTGCAGCTGGTTAATGATTTTATGTTTGAATATAAAACCTGCAGGCTTGACATGCAGTCACCTTCCTTTTGCCTTGTAGCTGAGTGTTTTACATGTTTATGTCATAGGGCCCCTGAAATCATTTGTATTTGAAGCTCTGGGTAAGAGGTTAGGAAATGACCAGCTGCAGGAAACATGGGAGTGAGTCTTATTTCCTCAACTGTAAGAAATTTCAGCATGTCTAGAGGTTAGCCATGACCTCTCCTTGCTCAAGATTCTGCTGTGATGAGATAGATGATTGCCAATTCACGAAGGCCACTTTACTGAATCTGGGATGCCTGATTTAGTGCCTGCAGGAATCCCTTGCCCAACTATCACACATAGTCTACTGTCCCTGGGGTCCTTCTTTATCTACTGCTGGTTTTATTCTTTTCAAATGTATGATTAAAGGAGTTGATATGAGAGTTATTTGAAACTAGAAATATAAAGGTAAATATATAAAAATTTTAGATCCATCACTGAGTCCACATCAAGTATTAACATCTGGTTCTAAATCAAGGAAGGTTTTATTTCAATCACATTTATTCATGAATACTCTCAGAAATCATTATGAAGCCAAACATATGCTAGTCAAGCCAGTCCACTAGATGATGCCTCCTGCTGTTTTTGCTGAATAGTAGTGGAATAAAGTGGACCTGCACTTTGTTCTTTCTTTGCTTGTTAGAAAATGCTTTCTTTCAAATTCGAACTGGATTAAAATAGTCCTTATGACATACATCAACCTGAGTTCCTTTCACATAAATGTGCGAGATGGACATGAGGGAAAATAAATTGTGGGTCAGGAAAGTCCCCAAAACATAACTTATGAAAGATTTATCTCATTTAGGCCATTGAAGTCATCATCGCTCCTTCTGGGGGAGACAGAAACTTGACATTTTATCTTTGTAACAGTTTTGGGCTGAGTAATAAACTTTATTGAATAAATCCCAACACCATTAAAAACTCTTGAATCAGCTCTCTAGTGGTGATCATATTGATATAACATCTAAGACAATGATTTGCCTTAATTTCTTTATCATATTCCCATTCCATTTTTACACAGAATAAAGAAGTATGTGCATATTTTAGTGAATTAAAGCACATAATCAGAACATTGGAGACAAAGTACGATTTTAAATCATCTTAGAGGAGTTATTTGTAGTGGCACTAAAAAAATTTTTTTTTTTTTTTTGAGACGGAGTTTCGCTCTAGTTACCCAGGCTGGAGTGCAATGGCGATCTCGGCTCACCGCAACCTCCGCCTCCTGGGTTCAGGCAATTGTCCTGCCTCAGCCTCCTGAGTAGTTGGGATTACAGGCACACGCCACTGTGCCCAGCTAATTTTTTGTATTTTGAATAGAGACAGGGTTTCAACATGTTGACCAGGATGGTCTCGATCTCTTGACCTCGTGATCCACCCGCCTCAGCCTCCCAAAGTGCTGGGA